CTTTAACTGAACACAATGTGACTGTCGAACATTAAAAAAAAAAAAAAAAAAAAAAAAAGAAAGAAAGAAGTAGTACCATAATCTCTGTCGGTACGTGGAAAGTGTTATCAGTGTAACTGTGTAGGCAGCAGGTCCATTATTAGTTGCACTCATTTAAGGAATTAAAAATAAAATTAAAAAACATGTGGTTGCAAACTTACACCTCTGAGGAGTGTCCACTGCATCTCATAGCCACACCTTTTCCTGAGTAATACTTTAAATCCTCGTAACAGACAATATCTTTTTTTTTTTTTTGGAAGTTTTTTTTTAATTTTTTTTTTTTGCCATTTCAAATCTGGGCTATTCCCTGATGTCGTCTTTAATCGTTATCGCTGATATCTTACAATGGTAAAGATGATTGATAAAACACATAGGCTCATAGGGAACACACGCGAGGGGGAGGGGGGGGAAAAAAAAAAAAGCCAGTCCTTCACTACACGCTAATCTCGCATAGAAAATACTTTTCGTTCTACCATTCGACGCTCGGTCCTAACGTTATGCTAAGGTGAATAAAGCTGACTAGTAACAGATTTAAAATTAAAAAAAAAAAAAAAAAAATTAAAAAATTGCATTACAGGAGGGCCCACCAGCCTCTCCTAATTGTATTTTGAATAAACATTATGGCAGTGTAATAATTAAAACATAACCTTATTTAAAAAATAAAACAAAAAAAAAAAAAAACAGACCTGCAATTAGGTCGACTATGTCAGACCTTACCTGTAACTTTGGCTCGTCGGAGACTTAGATCCTGACCTAACTGGCTCATTGACGTCAGCTAACAAACTGGTATACCCTGAGAACTCTGACGCAGAAGTCCGTACCCGGTGGTCGACCTCGCCGCTGGAGTCAGCACTGTAGAGCCGGCCGCCCGACTTGAATTGGGACCCGAAGGCTTGGGCGAAGTTCTCGATCTGGTACGAGGTCCGGACGTCCACGCCCTTGCCGGAAGGCTCCATCGGGGCCAGGTCTGGCGAGGAGAGCTGGTAGCCGGAGCTGGACTTGGGCGGCGGCTCCTTGGCGCCGGCCCCGGAGATCTGGTAGGCTGTGGGGGAGTGAGGCTTCTCGATCTGGTCGGCGAGCTCCTGGGAGGGTGTCAGCTGCTGGTGGGCCGGCTCCAATGACCCGAGGTGGAAGCCCGGCTGAGGGGGACCCAGGAGCATCCCAAAGTGGGACTTGGGCAAGGAGCCGGGCGGCACAGAGGCTGCCGCCGGGCCAAAGCTGCACTCCAGGGCGGACGTAGTGTAGGGGTGCTTGTCGGAGAACAGCCCGGTGACCGGAAGGGGGCTGCCAGAGGCCAGGCTGGGAAGGGGTGCGCTGGGGCCCAGTGGGAAGCTGCTGCCGTGACTGGTGCGCTCCAGGGCCTGCAGGAGGAAGCGGGAATACTCGTGCATGATGACGGCCTTATCACCAGCAGCACCAGGGGAGCCCTCATCGGCGGCATCGGCCGGCTGGTGCAGCTCCACATGCTGGTCGCCGATGTCAAAAGGGACGTCGTGACCTCCGTCCGGCTTCCCCGAGTAATGATCCAGCAGGCTCTGCAGCACCTCGTCCGGGATGCCCGATTTGTCGTGCTTGATGTCCACACCCAACGGCGAGGCGTCCAGCAACCCCAGGGGCGTCTCGCCGTCCAGCACGCCGCTGCCCGTCCCCTGGATGACCGAGGGCTGCGAGGGCAGGTGGGCGGCACCAACGTCGTAGTCGCCGCTGTTGGCCGCATGCAGGTAGCGCCGCTTCTTCAGGAACTGCATGGCGTCGTCGTAGTTGCTGCTGGTGGAGCTCTGCTTGGCACCGGAACCCGGCAGGAGTCCCAGGCCTCCTCCAGCCAGGTCCGCTTTGTCAGGCAGCATCTTCTGCTCATGGTGTTCGGCGGAGCCCTCGCCCAGGGAGAGGTCGGCCTTATCCAGACCCTTGCGACCGACCTTCTTGAAGATCAGCTTGGGTGCGCGACTGTGTGGGGCGTCCGACTGCACATCAGGCCCACCCAACGCGTAGTCGGACAGGCCAAGCCCTGTGGCAGTGGCCTGGACTCCGCTGGCTTTCTTCTTCTTCCGCTCACCGGCCTCCCCGGTACCTTTGGATTTGCCTCTCTTGCGGCTGGAAGCATTTCCCTGAGTGATCGCATAGCTACCGTGCTCCATGTTGCCGCCAGCCTGGTCTGACGTCCCGGGCTCCATCCCTTTCTTTATGGCTTCTCCACAGGTCCTCTTGTGCTTTAGCAATCGGTCCGTCCTGGAAAAATACTGCAAAAGGACAATGCGACACAGGAAATAAAGTTGCACTTTCAAAACTAGTACGCTGCTATGGATTATGGGAATCGCAGTCTTGGGTCAAAAGTGGGCAAGGCCAACCAACCTGTTGGCAGGTGTCACACTTGTATGGCTTTTCTCCACTATGCGTCCTCTTGTGTCTTTCCATGTGATACTTCTGGATGAACCGCATGTTGCACTGGTCACAGCTAAACGGCTTCTCGCCTGTGGCAGGGAGCAAAGGTCACATCGGACATCACCACAGAACAACGTCCCTGTATCACCTAGGTTTCGGACCGGATGCTGCAGGGCCACTGGAGGGAGGCCAAGTGACAGCAGCGGATTATCACTTAACATTATTTTTGGTAAACACGACTCGTGTCACAATCAAGTATGGGTGACTGCCACCAGGTTTGCAGAAATTTCCAGAAGCTCCCAACTAAAAGTCTTATGCCGAATGAGATCTGGAATTCTCGGAAGCGGCAGCTCCCCGCCCCTTCCGAGAAACGGGCACGGAAGACTGACACTTGCCCGTCAGGCAGTGTCAACACCGGACGGTAATCCGTGTGGACACAGGCACGGAAAACTGTCACGGAAACAGCAGCGACAGCAGACAGCTTAATGTCACCTGCTGGCGTCTTACTGGCTCCAGGACGTCCGACACGCCCACGCTAAGATTAAGTATTAAGAATGTACAGGTGGCTTAATTTTTACCAAAGGGTAAGGGGGGGGGGTTACAGACAAAGCATCAAGGTGTTCAAATAATAAAAAATAAATTGCGGTGGAATAAAACTGCACAGTCCTCCACCTCATCCAACACATCTAAACAATCTAAAAATTAAGGATGTCTGTCGAGCATCTAATGCCTGCGTCCCCCCTCCCACCCCCCCACCACTCACCGCTGTGAATCTTCTCATGTCTCTGAAGGAGGTACTTCTGGATGAAGCTCATGTTGCACTGACTGCATCTGAAAGGACGCTCCCCTGCAGCGACAGGGACAGATCAGCGCCATGTCCTGACAGAAAAGCCCGCCAACTCCACGCCAACCGACTCCGACCCACGCAACCAAGACGGCAGACAAGCCAATGAAGCTAAAAATAAACACTCAGCAGTTACTGGAGCTACAGAACACCTACAGAACTCTGTGCTTCAGTGACAGTTTGCAAAAAATCTCTCCACACAAGTATACAAATAAAACAGGTGAGCGTTTGAGAGGCAACACATAAGGCATCTTTATGATGGGTACGACGGGAGAATCATCCGTCGTCGTCCTTCTCGGAGAGGTTTGCAGTAATTCAGGGGGTGCGTTCACAAAACCTCAATCGTTTCAACCATAAAGTAGGGGGAAAAAAACATGCAATTTAAGGTACATAACCACAAAAAGGAAGAAATAATAATAATAATAATAATCCACCCAAAACAAGAAATGAACAATTTCAATATAACAATCTTTCACTGAGATGCAACCTTCACCGGAACAGCTGGGTATTTTACAGGAGGAATTTCAGATAAGGCTCTTTTACACCTGGTACTGCGGCACTATGTTTGATTTAAAACATCCCTTAACTCTCTATAGTTCACTGAAGATTGAATACTAAAACACCAATCGAGATTAAAGGTTTATTGGGGCGCTGTCTAGAACGGCCCTGATATCACATTACGTGCCGGCCTGACCGCATAACAAAGGAACATCCGGAGGCGTCTGCTCTCCCCCGAGCCGCTCCGACAGCAAATGAAGCGGTTAGAGAATTAGCTGAAAAATAATACGGGCCTCAGAGAGCAAGGCGAGTGTCTGGCTGTCGCTCAGCCGCAGTGTTAACGAGCGGCGTGAAAGTCACCGCGCTGGCACGCTCGCGGCTGCCTTCCGTATGGCCGGCGCCGGGCTCCCACCCCCGCCGGCGTGTGGGGCGGCCTCTAATTATCGGAACTCATTAGTCAAGCAGAGAACTTGGACTCGAACGGCGCCTTTGCGGTGGACTGGAAATGCAAGCGTTTGCCTTTGACTGAGAGCGTAAGATGGCTACGATTAGCATTGGCTTTTTAGCTAGCGTTCATTAATATATATTTTTTTTCTTCGTTATTCAATTTTTTAAACATAGTGACGGTCCCTAACTATCCGTCACTTTTCCCAAGGGACCGTTATGCTCACTATTTGACAGGACCCTGTGCAAGAGAAGAGGAAACAGATGCCCACCACCACACCCCCCCCCCAAGCCCCGCCCATACCCGTGTGTATGAGCACGTGTCTGCGCAGGTGGTAGGAGCTGCGGAAAGCAGCATTGCAGTGCTCGCAGATGTGGGGCTTGGAGCTAGGAGACAGGCTGTCCCCTTCACCATTCAGCATGAGGGTCTGTGGGGACATAGGGTCAAAGGTCAGGGGTTCAGAGTTCATCCATTACTCACAAGGTCAGAGTCATGCAACATAACAGAGGCTTTTATGAATTTTTAAATACACAGGGAGACAGTGATCACTAAACGTCAGGCGTCTTTCAGGGTCCCTCTCAGGAGCTGAACCAGCAACCTTCCAGTAACAAGTCATGCTACCATCTGCCGACCAACATTTACGGCATCAATCCCTCCCGGCACCCAAACACACCAACAGCAGCAATTTCAATACGCTAGATCGCTAGTCATTTCACAAAGTGAACACACGGGGGCGCTGCCCCTATGAGTTGAGGGCCAGCACAGCCCCGCCGGAGCGTCCGCACCTTGGAGTCACCACCACGCTTCTTCCTCGGCTTTCCTTCGAGTCCGTCCCCGTTGGACTTCCGGCCCCTTCTTGCGGACGACTCTTTTATCAGCCTACCGGACAGCTGCAGGGAAGCGGGGGTGGGGGGGGACACACAGCATGCTGAAGACTCAGGGCCAAGGGTTCGTTGTTCAGGGGGTACACACTGAAAAGGTCACTTCAGAGCCACTTAAGCCAATTTGCAATTATTGTCAATAATCCACGAATTGGGGGGAGGGGGGGGGTACCAGATTTGCTGAGCAGGCTGCACGGAGCACTTCAAACGGGGAGGGTTTACATTAAGGGAGGAGGATGGAAAACATGGTCCGACATGGAGCTGTCATATTGGGGGGGGGGCTCCAGTGAACACCCTCCACGCACTGTAACCCCCGTGTTAATGCTGATGTTACAGCCGACAGAGGACCGAAGAATGAAAGCGCTCGAGGACACACACACGCGGGAGTGGCTGGACATAGCTGTGCAAACCACCTTAAAAAACAACTTTATAAATCATCGTTTATCCGGGTGACCGCCCGTGTGCCGGCGGCGAGCTTACGGTGCCCTGGGTTACGGTTACATCCGAGGTTACGGTGCCGAGGCGTGTTCTGACGCCCGGGGCAGACACGGCCAATGCCAAGTGTCCTTGGAGGAAGGCCAGCGTGCTGGGACGACTGGGTCCGAGCCTGTTGTGCTGACAGAACGGAATTAAATGCACGCTTAGCAGACACGTGCATCCTGCATGCACACGTCCAATCAGATTCAGACCTAATTAAATATGAGCCAATCCTTAAACACTATACATACATGTACACAGAACCAAATTCTCGAAGATTCTTAAGTGACCAGAATGACCCAATAAACTGGACTCCTAAGACAGAAAGGGGTCCAGGTGTTGATCCACATCAAAAAGCTTTTAGGCAAGCAATGGAAAAGATTGAATCTTAAAACTTAACATTATACCTACAAAATAAAAAGTTAGCCGTTTTTGGGTTCCTTATGACAGAAATCTGTATAAATTTTGGGGGGCGGGGGGCTGTACTCCTGATCAAATATAGCAGGTCATAAAGTTGTGTATTTAAAATTAAACCCCCACCAGTGCACCCCGAGCCCACGGCGTAAGGCACCGAATGCCAGTGTGCTGTAAACTCCAGTGATTATTACCAGCTTCTTCGCCCGCCAAGCACCCGTGACCAACCGAAGCCTGGATATCATCTGAACCACGGGGCTGACGACTGCACGGGACGTCGAACGGACCGACCAGAGAGCATCGGGTGTCACGGGGCGGGACATACCCACAATGACCCCGGGGCAGAGATGCGTCACGTTCCTGACCTCTGGCAGGATTATGCAACCATTAAGTGTTCAACTGTGGGGGGGGGGGGGGCTATTGCGCATGTGGCTGCTTATAGTGACCCCCCCACAGCCAGAGCAGTCTGAGCTCCACAAGGAAAACTGCACCCGCATTACTGCCCCCCCCCCCTAAATACTTCAATTCAACGGCATGCACCTATGTTAAGCTTCCATTGAATATTTAGCAGATGCCTTTATCCAAATCGGTGAACTTTTTTTTTTTTTGAGGGCCACACAGTCCCTCAAGCAACTGGGGGTTAAGGGCCCTGCTCAGGGACCCAATGGTGATTCACTCTGCCGAACCTGGGATTTGAACAGACAACCTTCTGAGCAGAGCAACAGGAGTCTTAACTGACAAATATGAGCTCACTACCACCCCCAACTTTGTATTTTTTTTTTTAACTTCTTTACGTGATCCAGGACTGACACTATCAGTACACTGGCCCCCACCCAAACTGCATCACTCGGAGGAGTGACACCCCTCCCCTTTTCCCAGGTCCTGTCGGCAGGTCTTACGTTTCCCAGACTGAGGTCGTGCACCAGCAGGCTCTGGTGGTTGCCAAGCGACACCTCTAGCAGCTCGCCGCCCTTGGCCACGCCCCCCGGGTACAGCGGCAGACGGAAATCATGCTCAGTCAGTTTCTCCTGCTTGATGCCGGCAGCGTGCGCGTAGTCGACCCCGACGACCCCGTCGGGTGAGTCGCGCTCCTTCTTCAGCACCATCTCGGGCGGCTGCAGCTCGTGCACGCCGGAGTGCGCGGCCAGCCGCGTGAAGCTGGTGACAGGCGGCAGGTGGCTGAACATGATCATGCCCTGCGCAAAGTTGGGCTCCATGGCACCGTTGCGCAGGAACTCGTTTCCGATCTTGTCTTGAATGATGCTCATGATGACGGCAGGCACGGGAGACTAACTGGGGCCAACTGGTGCTATCCTGGGTGAGGGAAGAAAGGCATGGGGGGGGGGGACAGTCACTGGGGGATCAGAATTTTAGGTGGCAGCACCTAATAACCAGCAATCACAAAAAAAAAAACTTGACTATACTACAGGGCGCTGAATCATGCTACCAAAAATACTCAACTATACCACTGAGCATTCAACTATACTATTAAGATGAGTTCAAAATTCAGGGTCAGCATGTCTTAATTATGCCTACATCCCAATGGCTTAGTGTGTACAGGCCTTCCAGAAAGCAGTGCCCCTTCTCACACCAAAGCTGTAAACCCTGGAAAACAGCTATACTTTTTTTTGTAGTTACTCCGAGAACAAAGTAACTAAACCCTGTCTCCGTATGCAGAGGGGTCCGTAATTCATGTTTAAACGCATCACGCAGGCAAAGTTGACACCCGGCCACTTTGCTCCGCGTCCTCCAAGGTGATCCGCATCCCGGACGAAAAAAGGGCAGGGATTTCGTCAACCACCCGACGGGGAAGAAGGAAACTTTCCGGATTAAGCAGTGTCACTTCCGCACCGCAGGAAGGTTGCGGGCGGGCATTTCGGTCGCGGCGTCGTGTCCCCTCGTCTCGCCAGGGCACCGGAGCTCCAGGCCCTCCGCCCGCTGGCCGGCACGCTCCCGTGCACGGAACGCCGCTGACCGCGCAAAACGCCGCGCCGCGCTCCAGCCACCTCTGGCGCTCTTCCACGGCTAGGAAGAAGGCAGGACTAAAGAGCTCCGGTTCCGCTACCGTTACTCCGAGCCGGTGTTTCGTTACATTCCAGCAGACAGTGACCGCGAGGCGCAGAACGCGACTAACGTCAATACGGAAAGAAACGAAGAAACCAGCGTCCCAGGCGGCTCATTACAGGAGGTGTCTGGTTTGCCTGAGGGAAATTCAAACCCTAACAAATTCTGAACAGCCCAACTACACCTGACTACACTGCTGCCTTTTGTTAACTTTTTTTTTGGGACATGACCTCACACATATTGTGCAATCGACTGAGTTCATTAAAAGGCAATATTGGCAGATTAAAAATAAGGTTCTTGAACACTTATTTTCCTTTCATGACAACAGGCTGATGTTTCCAAATGAAGCCTTACGGCTGTAAATATATATTATCAGAGATGGCAATTTTAAATCATCCTATGCTTCTTACAAATACATAAAACGCGCATAAACTGGATTAACGGTAACGAAAGGAGCTGGAACTAGTGGAACAAGCCGGAGTTGTCAAAGTGAAGCCGGATAAAATCACGTAACACACGGCCGGTCTTTCTCGAAACAAGCAGCCCATGTCGATGCCTTTTTATAAATCACAGGAAGCCATCATCTATAATCTGCAAGACACTGGTTTGATTGTCAGACGTCCTGAATGGGGAAATTATTCCCGGATTAGCGCCGAGCCGAACCAAAACGCGACGGAGGAGGTGAAAACATCTGTCCCCCTTTAATTCCCATTTAATTCAACGGCATGCATAAGCTTCCGCGGCGTGAATGAAAGGAAAACAGCCACTCGTCCAGTGGTATTTCTGAATTATTCAGCAGCGCCGATGGAGCGCAGGCTGCGTACGTGCGGTGGTACCGGGGATGTCGGCGCCGTCCGGCTGCGATGCCCCGCTGACATTTCAGAGGATGCGGACACCGGCTCTCTCCGTCCCTCCGGACGAGTGTTGCGGGCCGGTGGGAATTAATATTTCCAGCAGGAATGCATGGAAATTTACAGCAATAACAGACAATGACATCACTTTTCTCGACCCCCCCTCCGCCTCTCCATAACCAAATAACCTTCACGCAATCCCAGAAGTGCCCGATGCGTCATTTAATCTGGATGCACAGTATCAGCGCAGAACGGATACAGAGCAACGCGCGACAATGCAACCGGATCCGATTCAAAGAAATTGGTCAGGGCACGTATTTTTCCGCTAATACAGTCAATGTTAACTCCTTCCATACAACTTCCTTCCCCATTGCATCCAACCCCAGAGAATAAAACTCCAGGTCGGTTTCGCAGTTCAAAAACGAACGTAGATTTAGTTTAAACGCCGAAGGTGAAACAATACAACGCCGGATCGTACCAAGACAAACCAACGTCGAAATTCAGGATGTCCAATATCGGCACCCCTTTGGTACCGACGAAAAAATATGACAGCTTTAGGACATTAAAAAGGTGGGAAGCTTCTGAAAACGGGACGGGAATGAACCCCCCCGAAAGTGCAAAGGTGTCATGTGCGCATAAAAAAAAATCAAGCCAGGCGTGAGTAGGATGGTGAGGAAAGTGGATCCCCTCTTTTTTGTGGTGACCATCTCCAAGTGCAGTCCAGCGCCCAGATGATGCCTTTCACAAAAGCACATTACCTCCCCAAACATCATCCGAGCCGAGGCCCTTTTGTGTGGCCGCGACAAGCAAGCTGATCTTGCAATAAAAGGATGGAGATGGTATAGCCTGCTATTAGCTATCCACTTGGCTATAACGCGAAACAGATTCTGATAATCGATTCAAAACGTGCTTTTAAATAAAGGCACCATCTATGAACGCAATTAAGTAAAACAGGTAATTTCAGCGTTCAGCTCACGATCGGCGGAAACCACATTTATCTGCCCCCCGGACCGTTATGCATGCGTCCCGTTTCATTTTCCGCTTTATTAACAAAAGGCCTAGCTAGCTTCAGCGCGATGGCCGGCTATCCGGCCAGCCACACAACGACATGGATTATTATGTTGTAAGGGGGAAACTGGATTCCCTCCGATCGCTCCGTATTTTCCACGATCTGGGGGGGGAAAAAATCAGTAGGTACGATTGTTTTCTCCAGTGGCAGCATTTTGCATAGCGGGCAGCTGCTCCTATTTCCCATCGAGCTGGGACTCATGGGCTCGAAAAGCCTGCATGCTCGTGGAAAAAAAAAAAAGATTAATCAGGCATTAATGCAGCGGGTCCGGCCAGTACCTAACCACCAGCCCCGGCGATCAAGCAGCGTCTGCAGAGCCAGCCGGACAACTGATGCCCGGCTCCGACTGGGCGAGCGGCGCGCAGCTCCCCACATAAAGCAGCGCGTCTCGCTTTTGTCGCTGCCTCCCTCCCCGCGATCGGAGCGTCTCCTCCCCGGGCGCCGGTCGGCTTTCCAGCATCGCTTACCAGCGCATGACCACCGCCGGCCGCCTCCGTCCGCGTTACGCCTGCGAGTACTTGCGATCCCTATTTCTTTCTTTTCCTCCCGCGATCGCGCCTTCAAAGCCCAAACATTGTTCTCCCGCAGCTGCTGCTCTCCTCCATCTTGTCTCGGCGCGGGGGATTATGGGTGCCGGCGGACGGGTCCTGCGAGGAGACAGGCGAGCGCCGCGATCCGGGGCAGGGGGGCAGTGCCCGACAGTGAACCGCGAGGAGCCGGGGACAGGAGGGGGGGCTTGGCGCTCAGCGGGTGGACACACGTAATTAGCAGAGCAGATGGGAATAATGTTTGTCTCATAGTTTTCTCCCAATTTATTTATTTTTTATTTCCCCCCGCTGTATGCTTTCGATTTCCATTTTCCAAATTTCTGCCTTAAAATAAGGTTATTCTCCTTACAAAGTGTCTGCGCGCAAAAGCTTATTCCTTGCATCTTAATTTAAGGAACAAATAGGACAACTCACATCCTGTGTCGCCCAGGAAGTCGATTTTTAATAAAGTTCTTATTTTATTCTGCGAGAAACTGTGCCAAATTTAACCGAATTGACTGCTGAAATAGGCTCATTCTAATTAGTGCGACGCGGGTCTCAGGTGGATTGAGGTCTAAGCGTGGTACGGGGGTGATCTTTGAAAATAGAAGTGATCTAAAAACAACCAGCTTAAATCTAGCTGGGATCCTTTCAGATTTAGCATGTGTACCGATACTGCAGCCGGGCCAGCCTGGAAGAATAAGACAGATGAAAGCTTACTTTCAGTACAATGAAGACCCCCGCCCCAATCGCTTCCCTCCGCACTCCTCATTTCCCTGTCTAATGACTTAATTAATTCAGTGAGAAGGATGATTTAAATGGACACTGTGGAGTTAATGTCAAAAGGTCAGCGGGTTTTCCTGACGAGGGAATTTCGATGCTCCTTCAGTGTCGTTGGTAATAATCCACAGAGCTGCTGGTCGCCTTTTTGATAACACCCCTTATTCGGTGTGTTTAAATATGTATGTTTAAAATATTACATGGCAAAACCTCCCGGGTGTTTAAGGTATGAAAGATGACATGAACTAAGTTAGAGACTGGTCACCCCCGAATTAAAAAGATTGTTGCAGCAAAACCAGTGTACGTTTTTGTCATTTTGCCTTACTAGTATTTCAACAAAGGTTGTATTATTAAAAATTATCCATAGTAGGCCTACCTCTGGTGACAAATATATACAAAAATGTAACACAAGTTAGGCTACACGTTAATAGATATTTTTGATCCTATTCACCTACTTATTTCCTGATTCCTCTATGCCTTTTCCGTGCTAATGAGCATAAGCCAGTGTGACAGCTAATGAACTCGACTTCTGATTGTAAGACTGCAGGTTCAAGCTCTCCAAAGGATCCCCTGCTGCTCTGTTCTTGCGCCAGGAATGTAACCTGAATAGTGTTAGCTGCAGGGAAAATGATGGAGGTGTTAGCAAGCTCCGGAGCAAAGTACCCACTAGGAAAATTAGAAATAATACGGACACCTCTCATTAACAGCACCGATCTTTACTAACATGGGCACGTATGGGATATTTGAGCCGTCCCATTCAGAACTGAGTGCAACGGAGTGTCGTAAAGCAGCGCATTATAGTGGCAACCGTGTCCTTTTACTGGGGGTTGAAAGGTCCGCTTCCGTTTTCATTTTCTTTTCATGGTTGATTCGATTTTGAAAGACGGTGGGCATCTTCTGATCCCGTGCCATTTATTCATTTAGTGTTTGCGGTGCCGCAGTATCAAACACGGCGGAACGGTGATTATCCTTGTATGTTTAGCGACGGCCCCACCCCGGTACCATCAGTTTCCCCAGCCTTATATATAATTCAGCAGTCTAAGGAATTATAAAGTTCTTCCCCTGAGAAAGGCTCACGTCATGATGGACTCTTCAATATTTCATCGAATGGTTTATTTATTACTGGAATCCCTCGGTGAGATGATTGACACGTGACTTCGTGGCCTCGAGCGCGAGGGAAACGTGGCCTCCCCACTTCTAATTTGAGATCAGCTGACATCACAAATCGCAAAGTCGTCACACAGCCAAGGAAATCCGCTACGGCGGCGGAAGGCTGTTGATTGATTGCCACCGGAGTTTAATTTCCTGGTACGAAAAATTTGACTGCATCAAATATTTAGTCCCCTGTATATACAGTCAAGATAATTATCCCTTCATTTTAAAAATGCTTTTCATCCATGGTGAAATGTATGCACTTATACTCTAACCAGCTTGACATTTTCTCCACACTAATTCAAGGTAGGCATCTTTCAAGGGGAAAACTGCAGTGAATTAAAAAAAATATATATATATATATATTTTTATCAGAAATTTCCTAACGGCTAAGGCCACTGGTGTTTACTTAGATTAGAAGATAAGAAAAAAAACTAGATTGCGTAAATGATGTTTGTGTTGAGTCATTTACCATCATATGTGACCCATTTTATCAGTTGTATGCCACTTCCTGTACTGACTGAGTATAAACAATCACAGTGCACCGCAAAATCGACAGGACTATTATAATCGACTTGAGTTCAATGCATAATTGTGGCCTTTTTTTGGTCGCATGTCTGAAAATTCTATTAACAGATGCTTTTGAATTACCCTCTCTCAGTAGTGGTGCCTTGTTACATAGTTTAATAAATTCTTTTTTAAAGTCACATTGCAGTCTACTTACTCTTGCATAGTAAGTTCCAGAAGGCTATTACAAGTACATCATATATGATATTTGGAAGAGCTATACCATTTACGTCCAAAGTCATGTGCTAAACACACCAGACTAATAATGAGCTTCAGTCATTTTGAAACAACTGGCAAAGGAACTGCAAACTAATTTCGGACATGCAGTGATATCTAATTATAGAGATCGTTGTTTCCAATATTTTTGGCATTGCTGAGATTTTTCATGCAGTATTACAAGTGATATTTAGAATGAAATGCATGGACCCACCATTACAGAAATTCAATGTTCAGTGACAGATGTGTTGGATGCAATATTCCACAAAAAAACACAATATGAAATGAATGTTAAAAATGGAACTGGATGCATTTCAATGTTGTTTCAAATTGAAAGTGGTTCAGTGAAATACCACTGTGCCACTAGATATTTAATAGTAAACTGTGCAGTAAATGCACTATTGGTGTGGTGTGTGGCCCAGTGGGGTAGGGATTTATACCCACCTCGTCGTGGGTTGTGGGTTTGCATCCCGTAGCTAGCAGAGTAATCATTACTCTTGGTATTTAACCCCATCTGCTCCAAGGGAGCTGTGTGCTGGCTGACCTTGCTCTGTTCAAAAAAACCGTGTCTCTCACGGAGAGCAAGATGGGCAAAGTGAAAAGCCTGGAATTCCACTATACCTTGTGCAAATGGCAAACAAGCTATCTTATCAAGTTTTAGAGTTGGGCCCTGGCACACGATTCTACCAGTTTCTACAAGCGCCGGAGACTGGACGATGCGAAGGAAAGGCCGTGTTAATCAGCGCAGGCGAACGCGGGGACAACATTTAACCGGAACTCATATTTTGGCCTCGCTGCAAGAATCAGTAACGGCTGACGAGACCGGATTTGGTTTATCGCTTTGTTTCCGACGCGCAGCCAGAGAGGAAGTTGCAGTTGCCAATTTATCCTTCATTCTGCTGCCAGCCTGTTCTCTAATAGAGCGCCAATCTGTTGGTGTTCAATGACTGTAGCTGGAAGGTAGTGGCGTGGGGGGGTGGGACTATGTAGTCTGTGTAGCGAACAACCGAGACCTGTACTGAACCCAGTATGACTTAGAAGTTCGGGTCTGTCATGGCAGAGAAACCCCAATTCCCGGAGCTCAGCCCGGCCGATGGGGACATATTTATTCTGTGTTTCAGCTCCATCCTTCTTCTGCCAAGAGGAAGCCGGCCGTGTGGCCAGATGCCCGGCACGGCTCCGAGTTCTCTGGGTCCGGCTTAATGAACCACGGCCTTTCAATTCCCCACCAGCGCAGCGACAAGGACAGCCCGCCATGAAGCATTACGGCCGACACTGCGGATCGCTCACTTGTGGCAAATTTAGAGTCTTATTAAGCTTTGCCTCTTTACAATGTACCAATCCAGGCTGCTATAGGGACAGAAATCGGTAGATCTGGGAAAGCAATCAGCCATTATTCAGTCCAAATTTCACAAAGCTGTCTTTATTTCGCTTCCGACAGGAACAGCAGTGGCCCCTGCAACTGATTAAACCAGGGAGTAATACCTGTCAGCGAGCGCCGCCATCTCGATTAACATAACGGACCCTTTGTCTGCTCCTTTTGGTGTGGAAAGTTCTGGAGTGTGACAGTGAGTCAGCATGCCCCAAAGCCACACCTGTGAAATGGATGATTGACGAAGTATGAATTTCTTTGGACTGGAGGATACAATATGAAAGCAAGAGGCAATTACATAAACAACACAAACCTTCATCAAACGTGTTTTTCCTGTTTTTCTTTATACACAAAGCACCACTTTAACTGACTGCATGTGAACTTAAGTATATTACTTAAGCAAATGTTGTGGTCAACCCCCGGTCTTTATGCCCGCGACTGTATGGCATGTTAGATTACATACATTGGGTCTGAGGACACAAATCTTTAAGATTATTATGAACAAAGATTTCATGTTGCTGATACTTTAAACACTGCAGATAATGTTGCAACTAATTCTAATCTATGACCTGATGGCTATTTTACAAGACGTCCACATCGTACAGATCGCAAGGTCGCCAGCTGAACGGCCTTCACGAGGCGCGAGACCAAATAACCACACAAAATTAACTTTGAGGACCGTGAAATTTCATTTTAAACGGTACGTCCAAGCTTTTATACATCGATGCTACACCGAAGGAAACTATACTTCATGAAAAAAATGACATTTTGGAACCGGTCGCGTGTATTTCATTGATTTACTGAATGAAGCCAAACGCACCGATTCGTGAAAACAAAAAACGGTACTAACATTAAATATTCGGGAGGTGGCAGCATTTCTCTTATTCTGACTCCAAAACCCACGTCAGCGTGTCATTTAATTCGATAGTATGCATTTATCCTTATAAAACATGAAATTTATTTTATATATATATATATATATATATATGTGTGTGTGTGTGTGTGTGTGTGTGTGTGTGTAATACGCCTATGTTTTATTTAGTGTTACATGCATAGTTAGAGAACTAAATAAATTTATAATAGTGTAAAAGTAGTATCAGTTGTAGTGTTCTACTTGTGGTGGTAGTTTAATGCATTTTTATTTTCCATCCATCTTCCATAACCGATTATTCAATGCCGGTTACGATATCCATTTTATTATCCTCATCATCATTGATATTATTATTATTATTAGTAGTAGGCCTAGTAGTTGTAGTAGTAGAAGATCATATAAACCACGAATTGCACGAGTTCCCTTTCCATTCACTGAGAATCATCCTCCTTCCTCCTCTTCCTCCCAAACCAGCGCCGGCTGGCTTTGCGCTGCTCAGATTGCCGGCTCTGCGCTCTCCAGTCCTAACTCCCTTTGCGCGCGCACACGCACACCTCCCCCAGCTGATCTCAGAATGAAACCCGCGGATACTAGAAATAGTATTTCGAATGGAATATCCCATAGCCCCCCGCCAGCTCTGTCGGCATGTATCCTCAAATCGGGGAGAGGGTTCCCGTGCATCTTCCGCGGAATCTGAGCATTAAGGAGAGGGACACGAGCCGGGACGCGCGAGCGGACTCTTGCAATAGAAGAGAGTAAATCTTTTCATGATTTCTTTTTTTTTTTTTTAAGTGCAAGCGCAATACTGGCTGGGACGTTTTGTAACGTAATTATAAAATTGACAAAAACAACAAATAATAGAAAAGCGAGTGAGATCTTCAGATTTTTTCCCCACAACTGAACAGTATCCTCACCTCCGCGCTGACCCGTTGCTTATAGATTGCTGCGCTTTTTTACGCAGTGGGAAAAGTGCCATCGTTTCTAATGATCAGAGACGCCACTAATGGGTAACGAGCTCCAGTGAAATCTTCTTCACGTCGCGGAGGCAAGCTCGGTGCGTTTGATCCCGGCCAAGCCGAAGTTATGTCAGCGCTACGGAGGAAATTTGGGGAGGACTACCAGGTTGTGAACACTAACAGAGGAGCCGCGTTTGCGGCGCCCGTCAAAAAGAAGCGGCAGCGCTTCGTCGACAAGAACGGGCGCTGCAATGTGCAACACGGAAACCTCGGTGGGGAGACCAGCAGATACATCTCGGACCTGTTTACTACCTTGGTGGATCTGAAATGGAGATGGAACCTGCTCATCTTCATCTTGACATACACGGTCGCCTGGCTGGTGATGGCTTCAATGTGGTGGATCATCGCTTATATCAGGGGCGATCTCAACCAAGGTCATGACCAGTCCTACACACCGTGCGTTGCAAATGTTTATAACTTTCCGTCGGCTTTTTTGTTTTTCATAGAGACAGAGGCCACGATCGGCTACGGTTACCGCTATATTACTGAGAAATGTCCCGAAGGCATCATTCTGTTCCTGTTTCAATCACTGCTGGGCTCCATCGTGGACGCCTTTCTCATCGGTTGCATGTTCATAAAGATGTCCCAACCTAAGAAGCGGGCTGAGACACTAATGTTCAGCCAAGACGCCGTTATTTCTCAGCGGGACGGCAAACTATGCCTCATGTTTAGAGTTGGAAACTTGAGAAACAGCCACATGGTGTCCGCGCAGATCAGATGCAAACTCATCAAGGTAAGACGCTCCAGAGTTTTCCCTGCGTCAACTTTGGATGGTTATCCTGTGACATTTTGGCTTTTATTTACAATAGTACTGCGATCGTTTATGGACTGGGGCGGCAGAACTCCACCTAATTCATTGACAGATTGTTTTGAGGGAATTTACTAGGCTACATGAATTTCGAGGCAATAGTTGTAAATTATCACGTTACCGCATAAAGACCTAATAAACGTAACACGGAGTAATTGTGAGACCTCATGCAAACTTGTCATGCTTAACTTTACGACCGTCCTCGATCAAGTCCTGTGACAAAAAAAAACAATTATTTTGGCATCACTTCCCGAGTAAAACATACCTCCAAAAAACGTTAAAGATATCTGGTTTTGATGATAGGATTTGAACAGAAAGATTTGTGGGTCACGCATTGTCCGCGCAGGACTATGGAAGTTACGCTGAATTTGAATTAGATTAATACCGTACGGTCTAGTTCCAAGATTAATCGAATCAGACCTATCCAAAATAAAATTGAATTGAGTCTCCGTAATAGCCTCTTATTTTCAATTGGCTTTCCCCTACGGAATAATAAAACACGCCCGGAAAGTCAAGTAATAGCCTAACTCAAAAGGACCAAAAGGATTATATCACTATTGACGGATATCCTTGAGCAAGATGAGAATCTGGCGATTTATGAGCGTAACCCTGAAATTGCTGGTTTGTATTGGTGGTGCTCATTGTTAAAAGCCATCGCTTAACTCATTGTCGTTATTACAAACAGCCGATTCCCCTTTGTTAACGAACTGTCCGCTGGGTGACGTCTGCGTTCTGATTAACGAGACTAAATTATCCAGAAGGAATGGTAGCGACGAGGCTCACGGACCTTATATTGTGGTCAGAAATTAAATACAGCGTCATTTGCAGAGCTTGAATTGATTAACACCACAGATCATCTATAAATCATCTCTAGGGAACGTTTTTTAGCAATTATGTGCGCTTATGTGTTGAAAAATCAGGCGAGAGAAGCAGTTTAATTTTAGTGAGCCGGCAATTTTTAATGAAAAATTGTACGTATATATCCAGAATTGCAACAGTTTTCAAATATACGGTTACAGTTTAGAGATTATGTCAAATCTGCCCTCGCTAAACATTTTGTTCTATTTGTGCCAGCAGCACAGGGTCATATTTTAAGGTAAAAATGATCTCATTTCGAGGCTGCAGTCTTGTTTGTTTGCTGCCTCACTGAGACAATGTACTGAACAGACAATGACCTAAATTAGCGGCCCTCAGGCTGCTCCCGGAGAGACTGATAAGCAGAAAGAGACCTCAGATACATTATTGCTCACTTCACAGCAACTTAACTGCCTCTTTCCCCGGGAAAAATACTGACTTACCATGCAGTTACCAGCATGAACTTACTGGGGTAACAAGTTTCCGTTTCACAGGTCATTACAGGGCTGCATTACCCTCTTAATATAACCCAAGGCAAAGTGCATTGCACTTTTAAATATCATTATTTCTGTCAACTTACAAATGGGTGTGTGTGTGTGTGTTGGGGGGGGGGTAATGGGAAATTCGACAGGCATACTGTTGCAGCTGCTATCTCCAGTTTTCCCCCCTCCCTGTCTGCTTCATAATCATACAGCTCCTTTGATTTTCGAAGGTCTTCCCCGCTTCCCACGCTAACCTGCACTAATAATTAACTCTTACGCGATCATACAATTATTATGTTACTATGAGTAGTCACGTGACACTCGCCTTTGGGGTGAATTTGACCCCAGGGTAGGTGTGAGAGTAACGCCTACTACACAAATGCAACTGGACCACGGCGTGAGTAAAGAGGGCTCCCATGTCGGAGCGAGCGCAGATTCATAAACCATCTAATCAGTGAAGCCAGGACTTTTAAACTTAAGTTTGAGAGACGTCACATTTCGGTTTCAGAATCAGAATCCTTTCATTTACCAGGCACAAAAAAGTACAAGGAATTTGTTTTGGTGCAGGTGGTGGCATGAAGCGTACGATTAAATGTACGATCGAGAAAAACAAGTACAAGACCAACAATAAATATAAAAAAAGTAAAATAGGGAATACAAATAAAGATGTTCAAATAGCCTATATGTACGTGTGGAAGTACAAGGTGAGACACCTAGACGCAGGGTTTGGTGGGAAGTTATAAATATTTGCTGCCCATAAAGATTCAGTCTCTTTCTGACTGTTGACGAGATATGACAGTTGGACACGCGCTCTCCTGAGATACCGGGGGTTAGCTACCGCGGGACAGAGCTGAGTGTCAAGATAGGCGGCTGGTGGCAGCAGCCGTGAGCACCGACATGCTTCGTTACACCTGTCACACCAACCATCGCTCCAGTTTCCTGGGCTGGTTTACATGACCAATAAAGATCAAAGTCAAATTCTATCCTTCCAGCTATCTGTCCGTCCACCTTCCAATGACTTATCCGGTACAGGATGGGGGGAGGGATCTGATTGTTAAGTTAAATATTTCGTACTTAGGTAGAGGAGCGAGGACTCCAGAATGAGGAAGAGACTGAATGAAGGCTGAAGACCTTGATTTCAAAGGCTATTGAGACTGTCGTGATTGCAACTGCAATCAGTACCTGGTGCCAATGCAAATAGGCTTTTCACCAACGCCTCATTCAGGCTCGAGATTAAATGTTCTGCACAGGACCTGTTTTTTTTCCCTTAATCCTGCAAAGAAAGGGTGGCTAAAGACAGTTTTTTTCTCCAATTCTGTCCAGAGGGATAGATGCTTTCTCTACCATGAGCCTAAAGGGAGACAAGGAAGTAGAAGGACAAGATGATTGATCTCGGTTTCTATTGTAACAGGAGAACAGACGTAATTAAAAGTGATTGGTGTGGTGGGCCAGGCGTTGCTGCGAGGAGAGATGTGCAGTTATTCATGGTGCATGGACAGTTTTCTGGTCCAATAATGAGGTGCAATATACACCGTAAATGAAGAAGCTTTTCATAATCGGCAGCTTGTCACAGGAACTCACAAGGCTGGTTGAAAGACAGATGGTTTCTGTTGCTCCAAGGATGGGAAACCCAAGCCAGGCAGTCTGGTGTGGAAAGGAAGACCTGGAAGTCCAAGACCTCCTTAGCATAAGCTGGGATGTCAGCCTGTGTTTGAGGTATAACAAACAAACCCTCTGTGGCCCTTAATTCCCTTACAGCCGACGGAGGACAAGATTAGAGCAGTAATCCACCTGAAGCCTAAACAGACGTGAAACAGGAGGCCTCCCATTCTTTCAGAGGGCCGGACCCTGGGCCCAAACTGCGTGACGCAGCAGCGCTAGCTCACTACAGGCTACCAATGATGGATGCAGCGCTTGCAGCAAAACAGATTATGCAACCGCCCATGCGAGCTCTGTAGATGATCTCATGGCTCCATATGGGAAGTCGACCGCGAGCGATGTCTGTTTCGATAGCCCCTCAGCACGGAGCGTTTAATGGCCGCCGGCGGACCTGGCCGTTCTCGGAGGGAAGCGGCGAGGTGTGACGGCTGGACTGCGGGGCAGCTTGACACGGGTGGGGGGCAGATGGCCCCTTATTTGTCATTCACATCTAATGAGACTCCCTTTGATGAATAATGAGAAGCCTTTTAGAGCCAAGCTTGGACCTGTGGCAGTAGCTGTCGCTCACCGTTAAACGATCCTATCTTATATCGAAGGGAAGCGAAAGTGGACGCAGGTTAACCTCCATAATTTGGTCAGCAGCTGCTTACGCAGGTGGGGAAAGTCTAGAGATGAAGTGGTTTAAATCAGGAGCAGCGTCGCACTTATTCCCGTGCATCCATAAAGCCGAAAGGTTTGACGAGGAAAGCCCCCCTTAACCTCCCTCTAATGAAGGCCAGAGTGTAGATCATGAATCTCCATCAGCGCTTGCTTGTTGAGCGCCACGGTGCCCAGCTGATGGATTAGTTCTGCCTCAACGAGACAGCACTCCGGGAATCCTGGAATCACACTAATTGATGCTTCTCTCCAGCAGGGGGCGTGGAAGACACCGCTGAAATAATGACACAAACAAGGGCACATGCATAGGAAAACACAATTTCGCCACCGTCATGGCCGCTGCTATACGAAATTTTGGAACTGTACTGGCAGCTCCATCAACTCAAGATCAAGGTTTCTATTCAAATGTCAGCATTTAACCTCACATCACACACAGGGAGAGGCAGAGTACAGTCTGTGCACACTCTTTATCGCCAGAGTTACGACTTCCAATAAAAAGATAGGCCAAACGTGACTTTGTCTTAAGAAGTCAGGAGAAATTGTTTCAGTCAAAGAAAAACGCTCTGGTAAGTCTGCTGCAGAGGGCAATCAGGGGCAGTTTGAAGAGCGGGTTGGAATGGAACGCTGACTGACGTTATGGGTTCAGCTATCAAACGGTAGGCCTGAAATCCTAAAATGGTCACACTTTACGCACTACTTGCAGCTCTGTTCATAGTGAGTGGTTCTTTTTTCCATCACTGAGGTGGGCTACCAATGATCTTTTTGAGCCCGTGGCCCGTTTGACCGTGTGATACCTCTTGATCTCCCAGCAGCCTGTGCAAAACCTCCATTCCCCTTTTCTGCTCCTCAGCACTGTCCTCCCTTATACTGCACAACTTTTAATGTTTTGTTAAATATTTGCCAAAGATTGGGTCTCTCCATGTAGATTTTTTGAGGATTTCCCAATGAGACGACCCCTACATACAGGGGCGGGATCACAGGGGCACTAACTAGCTGAAAGCTGATTGGCTGCCAGTGCCCCCTCCCCTGTCACTCACAGATTCAAAACACATCATTGGCTAACGATGAGGTCAGCCCCTCTGTATGATATAAGGCTCTGCCTTAAAAATCCAAGAATCACCCCCGATCTCACCTCCCTATTATCCAGAGAGAGAAACAAGGAATCTAGAATCCTAGAATCTGCTCTACCTGCATATGAGGATAACATGGCAAATAATTCTAATTTAGAATGACCTTCCAGACTGCTATGTAGCTGTTTTATAGGTAGGTGGTTTTATTACAATATTGTATTACAATACAATGTTCCACTGTGTTTGTAAGTATTCATAGTGGTATGTTTGATACATCTTTGATGTCTGTCATTGTTATATTCCAAGAAGTGAAAGCTGATGTATTAAATAGAACTTGGGAAAGGAGAGAGATCACCAAGGATCGGGGCAACACAGTAAATTATAAATGACAGCTCAAGTGCATCCCTGAAGAGAACATGAAAGCCAAGCCAATGCTACTGCAGCGGTTCTCTGTGAGGGCAGGGTGCCGTATAAACACTGGCGATCTGGAGCACGTCCTAAGCATTCATTACAAAACGTGTGCAGAAGTAACAGAGAAAAGTCAATGCCTACTGCTGTCCCGGGGAGGCTTTCCGCATTCGTGGCGATACAGAGAGAGGGGTGCCATCACAGTTCTGCCTTGACTTCTGTGAGTGCCATCTGCATAGAGTCAACAGAACCAGGAGAATGTTCTGGAAATTCAGGCCACGTTCTTACAATTCGAACAGAAGAATGGTTTGTTACTGCGACAAAATATGAAGTAATTAATGAGTTCTCAAGTCTATTCATATTCTTTTGGTCAGTTCCACATGTGTGTCAGCATATTCAGGGGGTGGGGGGGGGCATTTGAGGCCATCCTGGGTGCCAGGCGATAAAGTGTGAAAGAGATTAAACATGACTGCATGCAAAGCCAACACCCCACTCCAAAACCCGGGTTCACACGTTTCAAATACAGGGCAGGCAAAGGACCAATGGATTCTTTTAGATATGAGGTCACAACTTGCAAACCTTAGGTGCAAAACCTTAAATGGGAACTTGCATTGTTTCCTAAAAACCAATGGGGAAAGTTTGGCCAGCTAAACAACACAACAATCAGATAAACTTGCACCAGGGCTCCTAAAATAGGTTTCTTACAGATTTACATGTACATCTGTTTTATAAACTCACAGTAGCAGAACATTAGTGTAGAAGAACTGCACTTACTAGATTTAGGTACAGCTATTGAGGTTCTAGGTTTTCGTTTTTTCGTTTCACAGTTTCATTATAGGAAAGATGACAAAATTTGACTGGCCCCCCTCCCCTGTGTCTTCCAGTCTCGACAGACCCCGGAAGGTGAGTTCCTGCCCTTGGACCAGTGTGAGTTGGACGTGGGCTTTGGGACAGGGGCGGACCAGCTGTTCCTGGTGTCACCTCTCACCATTTGCCATGAGATAAACTCCAAGAGCCCATTCTTCGACCTTTCCCAGCGCTCACTGAGGAGCGAGCAGTTCGAAATCGTCGTCATCTTAGAGGGCATCGTGGAGACTACAGGTAAGGGCCACACCACCATCTACTCTCTTCATTTCCATTCGCCCCGACCTCCTCCACTGAAATAATTTCCTTCTTGATCGTAAATGCTAGAGATGGGAACCGGAATTTCAGCTTAAGTCATTCCAGATGATTCCACTTTCCTATTCCTATCTTCATTTCTGGGCCACACCTCAGTGAAGCACTGGATTTGAATCCTCTGAATACCGTGGTTCCTTCCTGCAGTCCAAAGACATGCATTTACGCTACCTGGCATCTCTAAATCACCCATATTATATAATTGTGTTGTGCGTGCCCTGCGATGGACTGGCATCCCGTTCGGGGGTTGGCCCCCTGCCTTGTGTCATGCGCTGCCCCTAATGATCTCCAGGCTCCCCTACAATCAGCATAAACAGCTAGAAGAAACATCTCAATGACAAATGGGGATGGAGCTGAGCAGCATTATTTAATTTCAAACTATATCCTGTTTAACAAATGAATACACACTTTTTCCGGGGCCTGGGTCTCTCCAGGGAACGTAAATACTCAAACGCTCCACCTGCTCGCCATGCAGAGCGACACCTTCACCCTTTGTTTTCGTCCTTGCTGCTCCTCTTCACTCCTCCGTCCTCGATGGGGGAACCACAAGACCATTCATAACCTCGCAGGTCCGCTGGGAAACTACTCCCGGGGGGGGAACAGCCCCTGCCCCCCCAAAGGTGTGTACTAGAGACAGATCGAACGTGAAATCCTTTTAGAAGTTCTTCAGCAAAGTACTGAAGGAGTTCTCTGCTGTCTAAACATTCATGGGGGGTTCCATGTTGCTTTTGCGGGGATGGATTAACAGGGGTCAAGCACACACACACACAGTCACCATAGATCATTAAGCAGAAGGTCAGAGGTCCCCCCCCCCCCAAGTTAACATTGGATTATTCATGGAGTGTAATCGGAGGTTTAGGGGCAGCCGGTAGCACGGCGAAAAACAATGGACACGCATGGCCAAAACCGGCTGGGCAGATCTGACAGAGGCCGGCTCAGGGCTGTGATGAAATAGCGAGGAGTGACAGCGTCACAGCAGCACTGGCGGATTGTCACTCTATCCGTAAAAATTCCCAGTGGCTTAATCTCCTTTTTCAGTGTCTGCTCAGCCCTCTCAACAATTTCTCCTCCCAGTGAGTCTGGATAAATGTCTCCAGACATCAGGACCCGAGCCCCGTCAGACAAAGGCGGCAGGTTGCCCTCTGAGTGCCAGGAAATCTCAAACAAAAAGGTCAGAAACTTATTCCTCATGAGCGTAAATAAGACTGAAGTCAGTCACCCAGAGCTCAAATCATCTGTCACCCAATTCATTTTTTAAATACTGAGTTTTGTCCTGGAAATGCATATATTTCAAATTTCTTATAACTTCCCGTTGGAAACCCGTATATTTCATATTCCCAATGAATTTCCCATTGAACTGTCGATAAAAACAGCATTTAGTCGACTAACCAAGCAACTTAAAGAGAAATATATTTGAGGATATATGACCTAGTCTTTATAAACTATACAAGAAATCAGTAGTCTATAGTCTAAACAAGAAATCAAAGTGTTTCATATTTGTAAGAACTGTGAAATGTGACTGCAAAGCATTTGCATAAATAACTGTTTTTATAATTGGTTTTGCTTCCTGATGTTGGCCAATCTAGTGTAAGTAATACTCAGAGGACATTATGGTCAATTGTGGCCCCCCTAACAGAACAACTGGCCCCAGTGTTCCCCGACCTCAGTTGAAATGGTCTACAATCGCAAATTGAAGTCAAATTTCAAATAAATCCAGGATATAACCATCTTTTACATTTAACCTTCAGAATCTCATACCTCCTTTTGCAGATATAAGACATCTAATTTTTAAAAGGCTTTAATGTATAGTACAACCTTGGAACTCGAACACCTCTTAACTCGACCAACTCGGACATCGAACAGGTCTGTTGAATTTTTTTCGACTTGTACCTTGACCGAATTCTTGGAACTCGACCATTCTTCCTACTAAAACTTGTGTGGGTCGAGATGCGTTCAGCTCTACCAGGTCGGTCGAGAAAAATATAACCATAACTCGACCAAAAACTCAGAACAAGACAAAACAAAACAGACCTGCTAAAGCTTGTACAGGTAGAGACGCGTTTCTGATGGGCTGAAACGAAGGCAAACGGACCTACTGGGATGCTGATGGCTCGTGGTTCCTCTCAAGTTTGATGTGCGAAAGCTGTGTTCCTGTGTTCGGTGTGAATTTTTTGTGCTTTAACTACAGTACATTTAGTGATACAGTAATCGTGGCCCCTAAGAAAGTGAGCAGTGACAGCAGCAAACCGAAGAGGAAAGTAGTGAGAGTAACTGTGGAACCAAAAAAGGAAATTATAGTGAGACTTGAAGGTGGTGCACGTGTGTCTGCTCTCACTTCAGAGTACTGGGTTGTCGTTTATTTCAAGTTTTTTGCTTTTGTATCTGTGCTTTTCATGTGTGCATTAGTTTTATATTGATTGTTAATGCTTTTTATCATTAGTTTGGTAGATAGGTTTAAATCAGCAATCATTTGGGGGTCTGGGATGGATTAAATTCATTTACATTATTTCTTATGGGGAGATGCGACTCGGACCTCGACCAAATCGCAAGTCGACCAGCCTTCTGGAACAAATTACGTTTGTGTTCCAAGGCACCGCTGTACGCTAAAAGAGTCCGCTTTGTTTCCCAAAAGCAGATGTTTTTAAGCAGTAACAGACAGAAGTGGGAGGAAAGTGCAGGAGGAGCACAAATCGGACTCCTCACCTTCCGAGCCGTGCGATCTTTATAATCAGGCACTCTCTGGGCACCTCATTCGCCATGGTCACGGGCCCAATATCTGGTATTAGGCTCCCAAAGCTCGCATTTCCAGAAAGGTCACAAGGCAGGAGTTTCACATGTTCGACAAGTACGAACAGGCAGGTGTGAGAAATACAGAATGTGGGAAGGGGACCGGTTACAGCATGGGGGGGGGGGGGGGGCAGACTGAGGGATCTCAGCGGCCTGGTCACTCATTCCAGTTTCTAATGGTTTGATCCGCCAAGGGGGAGCCAAAGGTGTCAGAGGCTTAATAAATTACATAAAACCAATCAATGTGCAACCCCCCCCCCCCCAGCGGGATACTGCAGCCCAGGCCCGATCCACTAGCCTGGTGAAACTGTTAAATTTCCCCAGAGGGGCTCCAAGTCAGGGGCTATTTTAATGATCATCTGGGCAATCCAGTGAGACCTGTGGGGGGTGGGGGGTGTGAATATCAGACCGAAGAGCAAATGCATTTGGACGGATTATTTAAATTTTTTATTTGGTTTCTAAAAACAAAAAATGAAAAAGTAATCTTGAGTGTCAGTCAACTGCAGGCCACACAAACACAAAAACAAGGCATACCTGGTTTAAACAATTGACCAGGCTTATGTTAATTAAATTAATGGGGGGAGAAAATGGAAAAACCCACTCAGCAAATGTTAGGCTCAGCACCGCACCTTTGGTTCAGGCCCCTGAAAAGAGTTAGGCCGGCCTTGGGGGCGGGGAGGGGGGGGGGCATAGCATGCTGAGGGTTGACGACTGATGGCTACAGAGAGAGGGAAGGGTAACCCAGTGTTACCCCCCAATCAGCAACAAGGGAGGGACTGTGTAAAGTGGCACCCTTGTGCTTTGTCCCGTGTTGACCGCAGGTATGACGTGCCAGGCTCGGACGTCCTACACGGAGGACGAGGTGCTCTGGGGTCACCGCTTCCTGCCGGTCATGTCCCTGGAGGAGGGCTTCTTTCGGGTGGACTATTCCCAATTCCACAACACCTTCGAGGTGCCCACACCCGCCTACAGCGTGAAGGAGCACGACGAGAAGGCCTCGCTGCCCTCGCCGCTGGTCACGCCCACCCTGGGCGAGGGGCGGGGCCGGCCGGACCGCGTCTTCTCGGCGGACGGGCTGGACGCGGCGGATGAGCGGCCGGTGGGGGCCAGGCTGCCCAGCAAGCTACAGCGTATGAGCACCTCGGGGAAGGACGAGCTGCAGCGCAAGGTGCTGAAGTTGAGCTCGCACCAGGCCGAGAAGGCCTCCAGCACCGGGGACTTGCCGCTCAAGCTGCAGCGCCTGGGTTCCGCGCCGGCCCAGGGCGACGCCGAGGACAGGCTCCAGCTCCGGGCCCTCCGTGTCGACGTCGGGCCCATGACCCAGTCCACTGGCGACCTCCAGCACCACCCCCCGCCCTCCCTGCACTGTCCCACCCCCGGCCTCGCGGCCAGCGGCCGGCCGGAGAACAGCCTCCCCGCCAAGCTGCGTAGGATGAACGCCGATCGCTGACACTTGGGGCCGTCAACCACACGATGGACTCGGAAGGGTTTTGGGACTGCAGGGCGATCAGGAGAGTGGACAGGAAGAGGAGAGAGCCTCTACACTAAAACTTTAACTTGGAGTACTGTGATTTTTTGGTAACACTTTAATTAAGGCCATGTTTTTAGTAATTTATAAACACATTCATAGTAAATAATAATGCATTCATAAAGCACTATAAACCTGGCTATAGATATTAACAAAAACGCCTAACACATTATAGCAATGTTTATTATGCATTATGAAGCTCTCATTTATAATGCATTATAGATACCTTTATAATGCATAACCATTAAGGATGCCTTGTTTGGCATTATGATGGTTTCTATAGTGCGTTATAGATGAGAGCTTCATAAAGCATTCATAATGCATAATAAACATGGCTATAATGTGTTATGCCCTTTTGAGAATTATTTATAGCCATATTTATAATGCTTTATGAATGGAAATAATGCATTATTATGGGGGCAGTGTGTGGCTCAGTGGGCTAAGCCTATGTGCCTATAATCAGAAGGTTGCTGGTTCAAACCCAGTCTCAGCATGTCTGCAGGTCCTCAAGCAAGGCCCTTACCCCCCTGCTCCCTGGGTGCCGCTACGGGTGGCTGCCCTTCACAGACAACTTACTCTACGAAGAGCAAGTTCAGGGAGGCATAAAGATCAATAAAGTCTCGATTATCATTATTAATGTGTTTATGAATTACTAAAAACATGGCCTTAAGTAAACCGTTACCGATTTTTTTTCTGGGGAGTTTTTTCTTTCCAGTTATGGGTCAACACCAGTCTCGGGTCCATCCCGTTCTCTCCATCTTGCATGATCAAGTCGCACGTCGCACGCCACCAACACCAACGCCATGAACCACCGCCTCACCATCTCTTGGAATTTTTAAGTCAATAAATTAAACTTGTGAAATAGTAAATTGAAATATATCAAATTATAGTCTATCGTTTTTTTTTTTCTTAAGATCCATCAACAGGAAATGAGTTTAGATGACCCTCCAAAAATATACATATAACTTTTTTTTCCCGACACCTCATCCAAAGTGACATGCAATTGAAAGGGGGGTCAGACAGTCACTGGAGTGAGACTTAAGGGGCCCAAGCTCAGGGGCCCAACAGCGACATCACTTATCTGACTATGCGACCTGAACCAATGATCTTCCGATCACAGACACACCACCCTGATACATTATTATTATTATTCTTCTTATTATTATTATGTTACATAGCCGATAAAACTGCTGATTCAAAGACAGTGCAAGTAAGAGATGAGTTTTAAATGACACCTTGTATAAATGAGTGTTGCTTTTGTCAAACTTCCAAGATTCATGCATTTGATTGGAGGTTTTTTCAGCAATTAAAAAGCTGCCATTACCAGACTTCCCTTTGAAAATGACAGGGTCCAGGAATCACATTATAACCATAATAATCAGGACTAAAAGCTTTCAAGACTCGCGTCTGATAAGGATTATCTACTCGGGAGACAATGTGGCGTAAATCCACAGGAAGCCGTTGTTTGGTAGAAGAGAAATGTGGGTAGTTAAAAATTAAACCGGCACCGTAAATCTTACCGGCCGTTACTGACTTGGGTTTCCTGGTTCCTCCACACCTGCTCACAGCCAAAATAACTCCGCTTCTTCCTCTCACTGGTTTGCTGTCAAATTTATGTATCAATTTACATCAGTGTCCTTTTCTGTATTGGGCAGGTGCCTATGGACATACGAGCCTGAATTAAGCATATTTTAAATGTGAAAATCTGTACATAAACTAGCTAAATGCATTAAATTAAACAAGTTTCAGATTTGTAATCTTTGTACCTTTTGTTACACGGAAATGAAAGGTGACACCGAAGCTCTTGTCACAACTGGGAAAGGTATTTAGCCTAAATCTCTCCAACTAAACATACCTATAAATAAACAGCACTGCACGTCTGTCAGGACGAGGTTCCATGATGTAGCTTTGGGTATGGCGCCTAGCGTAGGCTCCGAGTAACTCTGACCAAGGTCAGCAGTCGGAAGATGGATGGATAGATGAATGGGTGAATGCCTGTCAGCTTATAACTAAATTTAACATTAAATAACACACCACAAGGTACATTTATATAATAATCTCGGTGTATCTGGAACCCAAGAAGCATGCTAACTGTTAGCGTCTAGACTACACCAACCAGCCCATTGTCAGAGCCTGACTTATAACCTAATGCCTGACAAAATACTTACTTACACCATGAAAGGAGCACAGAACTCTTGGTTTTGTAGGCACAAAGTGCAGGTTCTTTTATAGATGTGAGATCTACAGCCTCCAGTTCCAGCAGCGTCCATTAAAATGCCGGGTCAGTTTCCCATCCGAGGAGCCGCACTGAACATTTTCCAGGGAAAATGACTCACGTCCTTCGAAAAATATGACCTGCCTGGGCAGCCAGGCTGTGTCGTCTATAGGAGGCAGTCTAGAACCTTCACGGTACATCTGAAGCCCATTAATACTGCATTAGGTTGATGGATGTTCAGATTGTTTTTAGGGTCTAATAAAATGTGCATTTACATTACTGGATCTTCAATGGGCAGTTGGTGTGGGGGGGGGGGGCTGAAATTATCCTGAAGAACACAACGTGACTGGGAGTTCTGGTTATTTTCAGAGAACTATTTACAGGCTGAAGATTTCCCCCTGCAATTCACCGAGAAAGTCCTCCCCGTGTCGGGGCATGTTTACAGGATATGACAAAACTGGATCGTTTAAAAGAGAACAGGCTAATTTCCTGGACATAAACAGGGAGTCATCGGTTACGACTGTTTATTCAGCTTTGCAAAGCAGACTTGTGTCTGTAATCAGAATGGGGGTGAAGATAATGTCTTCAAACGCCTCCAAAACGGGACACAGCCGCCACTGTTTAGATTCTAATGGGCTGCAGGAGGCCGGGAAGCAAAAAAATCAATATAACAATTAGATTTATTACGCAAGTAAAATGTGTTCTGCCATTTCATTATGAACGTCGCCAAGGAACTCCACCTGTAACCACTGTCACGCACACGCAAGAGAGACACAGCCTCTCTGTTTAAGTGGTGTGATTTATTTCATTCATTTGATGTTCGGTGTTAAATAAGGACACGGGAAGGTCTGGGGGCAGGCACTTGGGTTATTGCCAGCTTACCTCGGCCAATCAGCACAGCCCAATTCATCAGCCAATAGGGAGCCACGCATTATATACCCCGTTTATTGGTCATGGCTCCTGGACGGGCCCCACTCAGAGGTGATGGGGGCAATCGATATAAACAAACATACAGACCGACGGATATTCAAACATGCAAAATGCTAGGCCACTGTTTTTTTTCTTCTTCAGAGCTTAAAGCCCCCCAGAGGAATGCCGAAGTATAATCTGCATCTGACGTCTTGCACGTAACATTTGGCATTTAGTCGACTCAGCGAAAAACTATGACTGAAGACAAAAGGGAAAATCCAGCCAGTGGGTCGAGTCTCGCTAAATGTTTGCGTTGCCACTGCTGCTACAATGATGTGCTTAACGATTTGTGGTGGAAAGTAGCTGGAAACACACACACACACACACACACACACACAGGTTTGTGTTCGTATCGTAGAGGGACTCTCCATTCATTTCTATTACATGTCAACCTTAACTCCTACCCATTACTAACCTCTTACCCATAAGTAACCAAACACTTTTGACATTTTTAGTGTTTTGATTGCAGTCACAAAGTTTTATAAAATTGAGGTTATCCTTGTGGGGACCGACAAGGTAAAAATTCACAGATTTTTATCACATTGTGGGGAAGTATGGTCCCCGCAATATAATAATTACACACACACACACACGCACAAAGGATGGAGCCCTGCTTTGAAGACTACCTCTTAGACTTCGATTCCCAGGATTGGTGGTGGCAGTGGGCTGTGTGTGTGTGTGTGTGTGTGTGTGTGCCCGTGTGTTTGTGCACGTCCGCACTGAGAAGGTCTGCCCACCTGTCCCACTCGCCCGGGGGTCAGGAGGCGGCGGAGTTCCCAGTGGTCACGCTGCAACCATCACAGCAGGTGCTGCTGGTAAACACTGGCGCACACGCAGACACAGACACGCACACACCTCAGCGGCCTCCATTCTCTGACTGTCAGTGAGAGGCAAAAAGATCCAGGACAGAGAAGTAAAGAAGAGCGTTTACTAATCTGCCGTGATGTGACATCCACCAACAAGTCCTGTGTGAAATAAACCTGTAAAGCTCACCTCAACTCAGCACTTAAATGCGCCTCAATTAAAGCGAAGTATAAACATTTATAACGTACACGACGGACATGTTCCGTAAATTTCCTTTTTAATGCAGTTACAGTGTGTTCTCGTCATTGTTAACGCTGCGCCAAAACTCTTGGTGCCTTAAAGAATAGAAAAATACAGATTTATTGGCTGAACAAAATGTATTAGTCATCTCTGAGAATAAAACCGGCGGAGAATAATTAATATATCCTGCGCAGAATTACCGCAAAATAGAACAGAAATGACCCCCCCTAACCTTTTCCATTTGGCTACCATGGAAGCAGAAGCCAGGGACGGATGTGTCGGTCTGTCATATTAGCCTGAACGTCGCTAACTCTGTTTGACCACAATGCGGCTGTGCTCGGTTACGGTCTCCATGGCAACCTCTGAGACTTTACCTAAGGAGCTCAGGGTCGTTAATTAATTTAGCCGTCTCGAGAACAAACATACTCATAGTTCATCAAGTTGCGCGAGGGATTCTCAAGGATTTCGGAGGAAGGTTTTCAACTCTTGGCAAAGTTACACATATAAGAAACTTGTTTAAACTTAACCACAGGTGATTATGCGTTAATTACATCATTTAAACCTTGTTAAAAATAAACATTTGCTAATCGGAGAAAGTGTAACAAAACAGTGAATTCTGCCATTAAGAATTACATACCATTTGTAACTTGATACACATATCAGAAGATAAACTAATTTAAAAACCACTATGGATATTTATGCTATATCAAATTTATTGAAAATTGAGAACAATTCTTATTTCAGGGATATTATTTCTGGAGCTGAAATGTCCAAGCTTTCAAAAGGCTGCATGTCATGGAAGACTGAAATACAGCACCTTAAAACAAAGAGTGACTCCAAACTAAGGATAAAACAAATACTTTCTCAAACAGACACGTAAAATACACCCAATCGGAGAGTCCGAGAGTCATCAGCCAATAGGGAGCCACCCTTTTATACCCCGTTTCACCTCAGGTTACATTTTCCGTTCTGCTGGTTCTCCAAGTAAGACGTCTGAGGCATTTATTCAGTGCCACAGTGCATGGGATAAGGGTTTCAGAAGGTGTATGGATGGATGGATGGATGGAAGATTCAAGAGAGTTTATTGTTAAATACTCATTGAACAGTCAGAGACACGGTGCAATGGAAATCAAACTTTGCACGCGCTTCCAGCCCATGGTAAACACAGATTAAACACAAATATAAATTAAGGTTTTTTTACAGTATGACAATTTAATAGAAGCAAAATTAAATATGTAAATATACTGGAATGTATACATCCATCCGTCCATCCCCATTTGTCCTATACAGGGTCTTGCGGGTGTCCAGAGTCTATCCCAGAAACTAATATCACATTCATTAGTGGTACTAAATTGCATTAAACAAAAAAATAAATGCTCCCAATTTAAAGCATACATCCCGCCATGCTGATGAGCAGGTGACTATATACCCCATATTGACAATGATCACATGACATAGCTACCATACTGCATGAAGTAAATGAGCAAATCAAATACAAAAAAGGCGTTAAATTGACATGGCTCACACACTGGGGATGTGATTTAATCAATCTTTTAGACGCCCGTCCACAACGGAAGTCTGTGAATGCCAACAGAACAGCTACAAAAATCGGCAAATCGAAGCCTTTTGTTCATTTGGCGTCTGATAATCATGCCCCGAGGTTTTCGAAGCCTTTTTCGTATGCTTCTACAACATTCCCTTTGTTTCCCTTGTTTAAAAATATATTTTCAGGAGACATCAAACGGATTATTCAAAAAATAATGCCCGGGGGGGGGGGGGATTGCTTTTCATTACTCTCCCTGCTGGCCTGGCAGACAGACGCGCTCCTTCAAAGAGGAGGGACGCTTTGAAGGGGGGAGCGGCAGCCGTGTGAGTCTCCTGTGGCTCTCTGGCTCCACTCCTCACTCGCTCCTCACCTTCTTCCTCTCCACCCATCCCCCCCAGGAGACCTTCAGGTGGACGGAGAAGGCATTGACGTTCACTCATGGTTTAGGAGAACACATTTCCTGCTAGTCAGGCATGGTTTGTGTGCGTTTGGTCTCCATCAAGCAGCCATGAATCATTCATGAGATGGTTTATAAAATAATAATGCCGATTCTATTACCTAAGGGGGAGTGAATACTGACTGGGACAGGTTGGTAAATATGCGAATATTGCCTTTCTGTGGGTGTACAGCAAATGTGCGCAGAACAGAAGTTATTATGTGGATTAATAGGAAATTGACTGCATCCAGAAGGCATGTGCATTAGCCTAGCCAAAAAACCCAGTGCCAAACCATGACATTTCTCCTAAAAAATGCAATAATATTCAAAATAATCCCATACAGTCAAGAATAACTGTGGTTGTAACTGCACTAATTAAGCATAAATTAATAAAAATCCAACCTACGCTTCCAGACATTTGAGTTTGGGTCTGAGTACAGTTACACTGAATTACAATGCTTAAGATATGGCAATTGCAACCCTTGCAGCACTGAATGCAGAAGGGAAATAGCTCACTTGTGCCTTGTCTTTTTAAGGCGGTCTCTGCTAAGGGCGGCTGGAGAATCACAGAAAGCCAACGCATATGGGACCGGTGGGATCTACCTTAAATTCCAGGTGTTAACGGGAGGTCACCTCACTGGAAGCCAGAGCATCAGGCTGTGGTGCCCAGGAGCCTGCCAAGTGTTTTATCCATTACTCGCGAGTGCTGTGGGCATGAGCGTGCCACGCACAGAACGTGCCGGAACTCGGAGCACACGTCACGTGCATCACGGGGCAACCAGTTATGGCTGCTTTCTAGTGTTCCATCAGGATATTATGACTATTAACACGACTGGCTGTTTCCCTTAATTGCTTTCATAATGTGCCCACACAGCTCTGCACTTAACACGGAGCAGCAAGCTTATTCCACGTCTGCCACCGTCGTGCGCATTTATTTCGATCTCGACACCCAAGTTTCCGGTTCAACACCCAAGAACAGCGCCACCTGCTGGCCAGGCTACGTGTACACCTTGCACCTCATAAAGACTGAGCACTGATGGCCGCTGCGGCTAAGAGAGGAGCAGCACTGAGCCTGGAGATGTATCTTTAAGTTCAAGCCCACCTCCCAAGCAAGACGAAGTATCAGAAATGTAGCCAGAGTAAATGTGAAGGTCAGATTGGAAAGTAGAGTTTCAACAAACACTTCAGGCTACGTTGGAGTAAAGTGGGCTTCCTGGAGGACACAACGACACAAAATATATTTAGCAAAGACAAGTTCGCAGGCACCGTGGTGATTTACATTATTTATATTCTGCTGGTAACATTCTCTGTTCCCGCGGTTACCCCCCCCCCCCCCGCAGCCTTTCATCTGTAGCGTCTTTGATGTACGATGCGAGTTAAGACACACCAACATGATAATTAAATGTTTAACAGCTCGCTTGACAGTTCGCTCGTGTGTGTGTGTGTGTGTGTGTGTGTGTTGTGAGGTGATTTTAAGATGGGGGCGGGGAGTCCTGGGGTTGGATATGCACCGACTCTACGAGGGCGAATAAAACGAAATACAACAAACTGCAAAGAAAGCGAATAGGAATCAGAATCAGAATGAGAGGCATCGTGACAATAGACAAGTAGCAATTAGGGCCCTAATGCAGACAGAATAAACAGCACAGAGACGCGATTCCGAGGCGGTTGTGCACATTGTCACCGACCACAAAGGTGACTCTATCTACTGCATTTTCCTTCCTCTCCCCCATAAGCACCACCACTGTATATGCTGGGAAGGGACAAACTTTGAATAAGAGGAGGCCTTTCTGTGCTCTACACAAGTCATGACTTAGGAATTCCCCCTCCCCAAAAAAAAAAGACGCATACAGTATCAGCGGCAAAAAGCTGTAAACATGAGTTTTGATTTTCCATTGTCAAAGTGTTCTGCTCTGTCTTCCGACGAGGGCGATTCAAAGATGGAGAAGTCGCCACTGGGTGTTTAATTCTGCTGTGCCACAAAGATAATGCTGCCCGTCTCCAGTAGTTAGAGGAAATCCTTCCCCTGTAAGATCTCTGGGTGGTGGTGGGGGGGGCGGGGGGGGCTGCTCTGGGCCTGTGAGTCAGAGCACCACTCGAGAGCATGCGTCACCCATTGGGGAGGGCCGATTTGTGGATTTGGTTTGGGTGACTGATGTCATCATTTAGGAAAAGTTAAACCACCCCCCCCCCCTCAGATTACAAAGCCTTACATGTCCATGAGAGGAGTGGGTCTCAGAACCACCATCTTTACAGTGACCGGGCCCAGTTCTCATCTAAATGTGGAGGGGTGCCCGACCTTGTTAAAAACAGCGGCTACAGGGTGAGGTGAACTTCTTTCACTTACCCCTCCTGTCAGCTTAATTGGTTTCTCCTCTGGAAACAAAAATCTAATGTATAATTATTCCGGGTCTTGGCTGCTTTAAGAACTAGATTAGTCACCAAAGCCTAATGGGTGGTGCATCGTGGGATTGATTGCCACATCTTTGGTCCCTGAATTCTACTGCACAAAGCGCCCGTTTTCTGGGAAACGTGCAACAAAGAGACATGCCTGATGGATTCCACCACGGCTCTTCCAGGCCTTACTGATCCATGTGCGTGTAAACATGTGGATATAGTGCTGTTACGACTGAATGATTCAATTTCATGCTCCGCAATATAGGATGTATTGCATCTAAGATGGCTGTTTTATTCATAGTTGATGATTTTTATTCATAGTTGATGATTTCTGATGATTATTATCTCTTAGTTAGTTTGATTTAAATACAGGGTGGTCAAGAGGCCATGGAAAGAGTTCGAGGTGACAGCTGTGTGCTCTTCCAGAAGGTCAACGTGTTTCCTAGAAGTTGGATTTGATTGCGGTAATCTGGAAATGCTTTCGTGAAAAGCAGAACATTATCTTCCGAATCTGCTGGAGGAGTTGTCTTCAGCCAACAATGACAAACTGGTCGTTCCCCCATTAAAGTACTGTAAGAGGAGTGAGAGAGAGGGGTAAGGAGCGCACACTGATGCAGCGCGTTGCCACACCCACCACACGACGAACCAGCTCAGGGACGAGAACCTGAGAGCAGCCATGTGGCAGGTGACACCTCAGCACCACACTAGTCCGAATGGACCAGCGTGACTTTTTTTTATCCAGGTGGCTGGAGTGTCAATCCCGCCACTAATCCTCACATTTCCCTGTAACTTCGACGACCTCCTTATAGGGCTGGATGTAGAGTAACGTCAAGATTAAGGGCCTTGCTCTAGAGCCCAATGGGGTAGTATCACTCCAGGCATTCAAACCAGCAACCTTCTGATTTCCGGCACAGATCCCTCAGGCTTTCTTTCTTTCTGTCTTCCCATTTTCTCTCTTCCATCTATAATTCTATATGAACAATGTAGTAATGTATCACAACTCACCTGTGTACAGTGCCGTAAGGTTATTCTGTTTTGAAAGGCGCTATAGCAAAATAATTCAAATTGAACTGACTGATCCCTTGGCGTTGGATCCCTGCCTTGTGCCCCTGGTGGGCCCACTGCGTGCCTTTTGGATATAAAAAAGAGCATTTTTCCTTTAACCCGGACCAATTAAAAACAAAATATGCAGAATGCCTTTCATCTCCTGTAGGTGGCGCTTCATGGAACGGACGTCAAACAGACTGGGGGCGCGGGGGCTTGGATCTGTTTCAACTTCCTTTCCAGGGTCCATTTATGAACTTTCATCTTCGCAAGTGGATTCTGTAATGAAGCTAGAATTAAAGAGGCCGACGGGGGCAGATTGAGTCTCCGGGTCACCACCCTGTCCAGAATTTCAACAATTCAGTTTTTTTTCCCCCCACTCCTCTGACATTCTACCTCTAATATAAAAGTCACAAAATAACCAGTGCAGAACATGAGCCTGTATTACCTTCTGTTATTACAGCTGCACTGAGAGGCAGAGAGATGAGGTAACAAGCCCCCCGACTGACTTACGGATCCTTTATGATAGCTTTCTGTTATTTTGGCATAAAAAGGCTACATTTAACCTATTTATCTGTCGCTTTTATCCAGTGACATACAGCAGTACCGCTACAACATGCACCCCCTGGGATTCAAACCCACAACCTTCGTGTTGGCAGCAGAAGGCTTGACTTGCTGCGCTACAGGATCCCAACCCCTACATACTGGTTTCGTTTCCCCACTTCCCCTGTGCTGACTGACAGTCACGCCCCCCACTTTCTTCCCACCCCACCCACCCGTTAAATCCCATCCCCTCCCCAATTAAGTCTGATTCCTCTCATGCTCAGCCAAAGTCCTTTAAAATAAAACAAAAACACACTTCTCAGTTTAGAGAGGACATCTTGCAAAGTAGGTTTTCTTTTCCCCCCCACAAGAAACCAAACAGTCATTATAAAAGCCGACGACAGACTCAGCAGTGGTTTATGCTCATAGAACCTAAAGCAAGTCTGCGTGAAAACAAAGGAGGTTTGACTAGATCACATCTCCCGCCTGAGAGCCTACCAGCAGTACCTCAGTATAACGATGAGAAAATGCTGTTTGTGCCTCTGTGTGGGAGGAGTCGCTCCACGGCGTCGTGTAGGTGCATCTCTGCGTGTGTTAACCCCGCATACTCCTGCAGGGATACAGACAATAACAGTAATGCAATTTTTTTTTTTTTAGGTTTTATTACACAAAGCCTACACCATCATGTTTTTCTCACAATGATACTCGTTAGATTTCACTCTGGTGGGGGGGGGGGGCACAAAAAATACCAATAGTAGCTTTCAAAAAGCACAAAAAAATAAGGTTTTATGTGAGGTGTCACATGGGAGAGGGTCTCACTCAGCAGCCAATCAGAGGCAGCGACAGCGCTGGGCCACGCTAACTGCCAGGAAGCTGACTCTCGGCCCTCTGAATGCCGGCTCCTGCTGCTGATTGGTTGTTCCTGATTGGTACAAAGTCCAGGTCGGCACGTAGCTTTTATCTTCCGGTAATCTCCCCCGAGCGTGCAAGCTGATCGCCCTGGGGGCTGCTGGAAGGAAACAAGACGCGTCCCCTCTTGGGGGGGGGGAAGCACAAGCCAGATACGTGACGGGATGCGATGCGACCCTTCCGAATTCAGCCCTATTTTTAACCCCCCAAAATCAAACTGTAAACACAGAGGGATCGCCCTCCCCTTTAAGAAAAGTAGGGGATGCTTCCCTCTACCCGGCCATGGATTTGACCCTCGGTGTAAAATCAGCCCAGCATCCATCTCTCACAAGAGACGGCTTCACGAAATGCTTACATGCTGAACTGAAGGCAGGGGATGTAAAACCTGTGTAATCCCTCCGGATAAATTCCAACTGGTGAAGCAGGGCTTCCCCGCTATGGCAAACTGACGGACAGGGACTCGCGCCCCCTCCCAACGTGGAAGCTCTCTGCCGGCGATATGGGGGCTGCAGGATTTCTTGCCCGAGCTCCCGGACCTCAGCGTTCTCCACAAGTCCGCACAGGAACGCCCAAGGCCAGCGGCTCTGGACTCCTGTGATCGGCGCTGCCCGGTTCCATGGCGAGATTTTAGCAGCACTGTCGTGCAACATAATGATTTCAACAAGTAGCCAGCTAAATTAGCCTCCTGGGAATAAATGCAGAAGCAACAGTCGCTACGGGAAGTAGCATGTACCGCAATGCACCACAGTAGCATGTACCGCAATGCACCACAGTAGCATGTACCGCAATGCACCACAGTAGCATGTACCGCAATGCACCACAGCAAGGTGACGCGATGCTTCGGCATAATGCTTCAGGCTTGCTAACCTGCAATGTGAGATTGTTTGAGTTCTAAGCCCCAATAACATTTCTGTTGTCCGTCAGAAAATGTATGTAGCGCCGGTGCAGACAAGCTGAACAGGAGGCGCAAGAATACAGTCAAATTACAGTCAGCTTTCACTTGCCTTAATCCACATGTGTAATGCTTTATTCTGTGTCACCTCAGCTAATGCTAGCCCAGGCTCCAGTGAACTGGGAAATCAAGTTTCAGTCTACAAAAAACAAAGAAAACAAGCTGTGTCAAATAACCAATTGATCTTTATATTTAAATGCACCCAAAATCTTAAGGGATGCTAGCAAATATGTTTGCTTGAGTATATACTGGACTAATCAGGCTACTTGGTATCTCTGAATTGCCTGCAGTGTACGATTGTGTGTCAATGTGTGCGGGTGCCCTCTATTGGACCGGTATCCCATCCAGGGTGAACCCCTCCTAATGACCTGTGATGCCTTGGATGGGCTCCAGACCCCTCCAGCCACAATGCTCAGGATAAGTGCCACTTACAGACCTAACTATTGTATTTCTTTAGAAAACTGAACATCTCCATTTCCATAAGCACTGCACCCCCTACTGGTCATTGTGTGAAAATCATGTGCATGGCAGACAACTCAATTTCTTATGCGGTATAAAACAATGAAAAAACAAAAATCAACACAGTCTAGATTCTGCCAAACCCATCAGCCGTCAGTTTCATCTGAGCCGTGTCATGACGAACGAACATCACACGGCAACAGACTCTAACTGGACACGATGGGATGGCTTGACTCTATCACTTTCGCCAATTGGCTGACTTGCTGAGATGTGAGACCACCCCCCCCCCTCCCCCCCCCAAGTCGCAGACGTGTTTCAAGCTGTGTTTTTGGTTTTTGTGAGTGCGGCTAATTAATCTGGGACTATCCTGAGCAGGACGATGAATAAAAACATTCAAGAATAGGTGATCTTCTCCATTGTCTGTCGGTGACTGGCCCCTCTATTATGATAATCATGTAGCGGGGTAAAAACAGACTGTTCCCAGCCCTCATTTCCTGGGCGTCATGGTTACGCCCCCGTTAGGACCTCACTCCCTTTGATGATGTGGAAATGGGCATGAACCTTCTCGAAAAGCGTGGTAGGCATGCTGGCGGGGGTCACTGCTGTGCTTATCGGGGGACTGCAAAATAGCTTTTAGCCTGACGAGAGCCAATGAGCAAAATAGACGCACCGGGGGGGTTAACAAGAACGCCGCGAACGGGCGAAGAAGGGCTCTCGAAATGAAAAACCGCAGCAGCGGGTCAGGCTGGAAAACCCGGCCTGGAGTGGCCCTCCAGATCGGAACCGGCGGACGGCTTCGGTAGCAACCTGCAAACACATTAACCGCGAGGGTCGCCTTAAATCGCGGCCCCCAGTGGGATGGAAGGTGCCGCCAAAGATTGCGAGTTCACTGTCTTGCTTACTAATCGAACTGCTGAGTCAATAGCAAGGGCTCCGTCTCACCCGGACGGACGAATCCAGCGCCAGTCTGTCAGCATCACCCAGACAATTCCTTGAGACATCCTGAAGCCTTCTGGAGAGGCCGGCTCACAGAGATCTTTCATTAAGAATAAATAAAACAAAGGTGAAAGACTCACTAAGCTATTATTTAAAAAGTCAAGCGCATCAGATAAACCCCATTACCCAGTTGCGCTTCAAGAGTCCCTCTCGTGACGCTCACAGGATATGACCTCGATGGGTGATGTTATCGCGCCTTAATCCCCCTCTTCTCTTCATTCTCCTCTTTCTTGGCTTTGCATGTTACCCCAAACAAACTACATCAACCTTTATTCACAATCAAAATGAAAACAAGTTTAAGCAAAAGTGAAAAAAAAAACATGAAGCATTACTTCATCCCCTGAGATTATAACGACAACAGAACCAATCAGGACATGCCTTCTACTTCCTCTTATCAGACTTCCTGTCATCAAAGCTCAATTTTGGCATAAAACCGTAAATAAAACTCCGTGGGTACTTTATTACCCTCTCAACATACCGGCTTTTATCAATATTTCTGTTCTTTTATGAAGGCTGAAAACATCGCACTCAGCTGCACTTGGAGTGATTCATGTTTATTGGCCGTTTTTTTGCTGCGTTTCCCCAAGCGATTCCCGGCTGGGTAACGTTTTTTCCAGGCCCAACGAACCCACCCATTACTGCAGAGACGGGATTCGAGACTAAATATAAATTAGCTTGTCAATAAGGCAGCCCCCCTCCCCTCCAGATCCTCCCAGGCAAAACATCCACACGCGTGTTCAGCAGGTTCACCCCCGACGGCGCCCGTCCTTCTCCCCTGCTCTCGAACACAAAGACTGCATACTATTTCAGAGATCTGACCAATTTACCAGTACAGCCCACACAGCACAGGAACACTCTGACTCAACCCTAAAACCAGGCCAAGGGCCCAAAGATCCACCGTCTCAAAAAATTATTTTAAATACTTAATTCTTTTCGACTGCACCTTGTAAATAAAGGACACAATAACAAGACGAAAGCTGAACAGACCACATGGGCGGCAAACCAAACAAAATGTATTCAGTTTTTTAAATCAGATTGCTTTTGTTTTTTTGTGCAAGGGGATCCTGTGATTTGTTATTCAAATTCAACCTTTTCATTACCGGTACAATTCACGCGCATTCAGATGATTCTTTAGCTATCTGATTGTGCTGGGAACGTGGCCCACAACTCATGACTGCCTGAAAACCAGTAACATGTCATGCGAAATGTCTGATGCCTTAATAACATATAATACACATAATAACTGGCTCTAATAAATGCATTTTCCTCAAGAGTTGAAGCCTTCACTGTCCTGAAAGACGAGGTAAAGGGAAATCGTATGAATGCTGCAGGAATATCATCATCTCACACAGTGCAGACTGATTTATTCGCCCCGACGTCAGATGGAGCGACTGCTTATTAAATCGTCTCTCAAAGCAAACAGACGAAACCATTACTGAGTCAGGTGATTGGGGAAGATTTCCGTTTGCCAGTCGGTGAAACAAAACAGAAGCGCATCCATACAAGAGACCGGAGCCGTGGATTTTAAATCTGACCAATGACGAGACGGCAGAAAGTACGTTGGGCTGTAGAGGCGGAAAAACACGTGGGTTTACATGGCAATTAAAACAACCAATAGGGGCTTAGAAACTGAACCCCCCCCCCAAATTAGCTTCCATTAATCCCAGTTGGTATGACTAACACTATATGCAAGTCAAACTATTACCTAAAAAAGACATTTGTGCCCCTAATCTAATTGAAAGTAACGTCGATCTTGTATTGAGTGAATTCCTGTCCTTGTCCTCCACAGGGCACTGCCATCAGAACAGGGCACTGCCATCAGAACAGGGCACTGCCATCAGACTGTAAAAGGATGAAACTGATCCATTTTGA